TGCGCAGCAGGAAATTGTAAGTCAAGATGTGCACATGACAGCCCCAACTGGGATTAGATCTGTGCCTAACGAGGTTACATGATACCTGTGACCGCTATTGAGGGAAGAATGACTCGCGCCTGGCTGCTGTTGTTTGTAAGCTCCGTTGTGGAGGGCGGCTGACTTCGCTGATTTGGGCCCAGAGGCAGGTCAACGTCGAACGCCGAGGTTTGATGTTCGGTGGTGCTTTGGCACAATCCTTCTGTGCTTTGATTTTGGTGGCAAGGTGTGGCCTTTGGAAAGCATTGGCGACTTCTGTGCTCAACCGTACACCTGAAACCTGCTGTAACCGCCACCACGGTCGCCAAGGCAACCCTCCATCTGCTTGTCTCTTGACAGCTCCATGTACGCATGCGACAAATAAGGCATCTTGCTCTAATTCACTGCGCTTTTGCGGTTTTCCCGTGACACTCCACTTACCAAAAAGTCTGAAAATTTGCAAACTCGGTTTTGAAAAATGGGTGCCTGTTTTGTAAAACCCTAAACCTTAAACACTAAGCCCTAAGCATCAGGGTCATGATGTTTCGACTCAGGCTTCTACTTTAGCCCAAGGTAGGCAGAGCGACTTCCTTGAGGACGATAAGAACCACAAAAGGGTTTAAGGTTCATATACCATATAGGGATTCATAGTATTAGGGGTCTGCTTCTAAGCCCGTTCTTCTCTTGCTTCAGCATCCAGGGGTTGTAGGGTTTATAGGCTACCTGAATGTGGAAATCTGGTTTTTTTTGCGTTTCTCATCAGAGCTTCATGCGTAAGCTCCTGGAAAGGGTGAGTACGTTTGCGTAATCACACCCCCTTGCAGCCCCCGTAGCTGGGTTCTGGAGTACCATACATTAATACGTTTTGGGGGTACCTGTTGCTTGCAGGAACCATCATGAAACATGTGTCTACATCTTTCTCGCAGGTACTGCAAACCCCAAGCCCGGCTAAAATAACCCAGAAACCTCTCAAGTGAACAGAATCGCTGAACACCTAGAAAAAGCCCTTGCCCTAAAGAAAAAACAAAACCCTAAACCCTAAACCCTATCACGAGTAGAGCCGGGGTCCCTCTAAGCCTAAACCCTAAACCCTAAAACCCTGTGCCCTAAAACCCAAACCTTATATTTCAGTGCAAAACCCTAAGGGTTTAGGGTTTAGGGTTCCCCGAAACCCTGAAGCCCTAAAACCCTAAAGCCCCGAAGCCTTAAACCCTAAAACCCTAAAGCCCCGAAGCCCTAAACCCTAAAACCCTAAAGCCCTAAATTACTAAACCCCAAAGCCCTAAAGCCCCGAAGCCCTAAACCCTAAAGCCCTAAAGCTCCGAAGCCCTAAACCCTAAAGCCCTAAAGCCCTAAATTACTAAACCCCCAAAGCCCTAAAGCCCCGAAGCCCTAAACCCTAAAGCCCTAAAGCCCCGAAGCCCTAAACCCTAAAGCCCTAAAGCCCTAAATTACCAAACCCCCAAAGCCCTAAAGCCCCGAAGCCCTAAACCCTAAACCCTAAACCCTAAAACCTTAAAGCCCCGAGGTCGGTAAACCTCTTGGCCGAGGCTGCCTCGGTCCGGATTTCATCGCAGGAACTCGGCTCATAGGGTTTAGGGTTTAGGGTTTAGGGTTCATAGGGTTTAGGGTTTAGGGTTTAGGGTTTAGGGTTTAGGGTTTAGGGTTGGAACTCGGCGGTTTCCGGGGCCGGGTTCTCTCTGAGGGTTCCTGTAAGGGAGGGTTTAGGGCTTCGGAGGTTGAGGGCTTAGGGTTTTGGGTTTTGGGGTTTGGGGTTTAGGGTTTCGGCGGTTGAGGGTTTAGGGTTTAGGGTTTTGGGTTTTGGGGTTTAGGGTTTCGGAGGTTGAGGGTTTAGGTTTTTGGGTTTTGGGTTTTGGGGTTTAGGGTTTCGGAGGTTGAGGGTTTAGGTTTTTGGGTTTTGGGGTTTAGGGCTTCGGCGGTTGAGGGTTTAGGGTTTAGGTTTTTGGGTTCGAGGGTTTCGGGGTTTAGGGTTCCGGGATGTTTAGGATTTTAGGGTTTAGGGTTTCGGGGTTTGAGGGTTTACGCGTTTGGTTTTAGAGGTTTCGGGGTTCAAGTTCTGCTGGTCCCGCAAGGTGTACTGATACGCCTGTAGTATAGGGGCTTAGTACTGGAGGGTAGGGCGACCTAGCAAGTAGATATTCTATAGAGCTACAACAATCAAAATCCTCAGCAGAGGATGTTCTTGAGTGTGGGGGCTTTGAGCTTCAGGTTCTAGTCTTCAGGGCAGCATCGGGTTTTGGTTTAGGGTTTCCCTAAACCCTGAAACCCTCAAGCCCTAAGGCCCTAAAACCCTAAAGCCCTAAAGCCCTAAGCGCTAAACCCTAA